GGGATCTAAAAGTAACCTCTGACTCCCTGCACGTTGACTAAAGGTGAGACAGTGCGATGTCGATTGAATAGTAGCTCCTTTACTTGGTTTTCTAGCCCCTCGTAAGCTCTACCCATGCATCTTCGCAGCTGCAGGTACATTGAAAAATCCAATACCCAAGTGACAGTGCTAATTCTAAGGTTTTCATCAACAACAACTATTTATCGCCTTTAATTGCCTTGACTTTGATGTGTACTGTAGTGCATGTTCGGTGAAGGGGCGCATTCAAAGACCTTTAAACTGAATACGCGAATTTGTCATAAACCAGTGCTGTTCCTACTGCCTTCCTCACACTGACCTCGACACTTTAAACTAAGTGATAATCTATTACCCAACGTTACCATGCCCCTATAAATATACTGTGAAGAGAAACTTTCAGGTCTAGTTAACTAACAAAAGTACTACACGATCCACAAAACTTCAAAGGTCTCTTCGTAATTGCAGCTAGACTATTGAAGAAAACTCCATAGTCTAATGCACAAATGGTTTACGAAAAGGATCCTAAGTATTGGTTCAATTATTTTATTTTCCAAAAAACAACTGCATACAACTGCATATGCTCGAGCCTCGAAGTTTTAACCCACACACCACTGGTCAAACTAACTGTGGCGTACATCATTCATCATCGAGTCAAACTAGCTTTGCAATACTTGAGTGCTACAAGCTTTTGAGAGCAAATGAAATCTGTGGAAAAAAAGAGAAGACGTGCTTATTTCAGGACAATATCCACTAGTTTACTGTTTGTCAGAGAAATGCCCCTTACCGCACGGATGAGGGGTCTTGAATTCTAATAGATTGGAGATTCTCTATCCCTAGTGTAGGTGTCACCAAGTCACCATCCTAAACCAGAGTATCGGAGTGAAGAGCGGTCATACACAAGTGGTGATAAACAAAAATGCTTGAAGTTCAGCTATCGAAACGAAACACTATATGTGTGATTTATAGGATTGTAGGCAGGTATAAGGAATTCTGAGCAGTCTCTACAAAGGTGGCTAACGAGACCCTGGACTACTGTGATTTCGAGCTGAAAGCGGTATCTAAACTAGCCACATGAACTAGATGTGAAACGTGTTTTTGTGAAAGTACAAAAAGAATCGAACGAAGAAAAGGTCGTTATTGTAATTATATGAAAGGTGGTCATTGCCGAAATTGTCACCGTAGTAGCTAGTCTTTTGTTCGTTTGATCTAGTAAAGAACCCCCCTGAAGTTGTGATCTCTCCCAAAATCCATCGTTATCACTGGACTGCTGAAAAGAATCATTGTATTCTTATAGCGCCCATGTTCTTGTTTTTGTACCGAAATCCTTTCAGTGTCAAATTCCTGTGCCACCCAACTGGGTGATCGCGACTCAATTTCCTGTATAAGCGTGATTCATCTTGGTGGAATGAGACACTTGCAAAATGTACGTACGGCTGTAACAGAGGCAGTCTTCTTGACTTTCTACACTCGTGTTTAACTTATAACTTTCAACCATTCATTACAGGTAGATACGCTCTAAAACAAAATCACTGGGCTTCACTTGATGTCTACAGAACACATCATACACTGGAAGTTTGCAGCGAGCCTTCAAACTCAGCTTAGACGAATTATCAACAGCAATACATTCACATCAGCGCGATTAACATCATCAATCGCCAAGAAAACGTAAATTTTTCTCATGCCTCTCATCAATTTATTCCACGACCTTGCATTCAAATTGTACCATAAATTTACGGCCCCCTTCTTCGGTCACTTCAGGTTATCTAAGCTTCTGTCTCGATTGTGTACGACCCGTGTATCTTCCCATACATGTTTCTGCATGGGCTTACTAAGCAGACGCCACGCAAGGCTATGAAGTTTCAGTACGGTTATCAAGTGGATCGGTGTAGCGGCTGAGCGCTTTTTGCAGTCAGTCATTATTTCTGAGCATGAAAATTCAGTTTCTCGTAGTTCAACTAACAGCTTCTTTGGATAAGGCGTTCTGCAAATTTGATTATTTTAAGTTGAACACGACCAAGGGTAGTGAGCAAAACTGGTGGTCGTGATAATGATGTTATTGTCTGTATCGTAAGTTTGTTTATTACATAAAGTTTGATTTCGCGAGCTAGCAAATCCAGTAGACAGTAAGGGATGATCAGCACAGAAAGAATAATCTTCTCAAAAGTGTTTTGGATAGTTCTCGGAAAATTCTTAGCTTTTGGAATTACACAAAGCCAGATAATGTGACAGGAGGTATGTAACTTGGTCTAGGCTTCACTATTTTACTTAAGATTCATCCCATTGTTAGCCCAAAATTGTGTTTGAACCTCTTTCATAATAACTGAATGAGCGCTGTTCACAATTCACAAAAAGAAAAAGTCCATGGGAAATGTTTCTCAGTTTTTAGCGTCAGTTAAGTTCATTGGCAAGAAAAAAATCTCCATCAATAACTCAAAAATTATCATGACTTTCGTTTCCAAATTTCCCACAGCATGAATTCAACTGTCGATGAAATGCAGAAAGTTGCTTTGAATTCAAGTTAACCATAAAAATTGTCAACAAAAACTTGGTGTAAGGTGCTGGAGACTGAACAGGACCAGTTGTATCGCAGTCTGTCATCCTGCCCTCCATTAGGAAATGTAATTACTTAACCCGCGGTTTAGCGGGTCAAGACCATATAACCCTAAGTAAAAGGTCTCTGGCAAAAAATATCCCGTGGATCTCAGCGCAGTTACATTACATATGTAAGTACCTAAATTAGCTTGGACAAAGAGTTTGGCTATGCTGTCTCGTAAATAGTTTGTAGGCTATACGTGTCAGCTAATTTAGCTGTTTCCTCAATGAATGAGAATCCCTATTCACACCGCCCCATAGTTTACTGTAGTAAAAAATCTGTCATCATGACTATTAGAATACCAATAAACCAAGGCAGAAAAACCTCGTGTTTGATCGGCAGTTGAATCAGTATCTATATTGTTGAATCGCAAACGCATAACTGCAGCTTTTGTAGTCAGAGCCGGTCGTTAAAGCGAGTACGCTTTTTGAAATTCTGGTTCGTTCAAAAAACAGCAAATCGATTTGGGTGACGCGAAACATTGCTTTGTGTACAAATAACTCGGGCTGAATCACCATGAACGTTTTGATGGTTGTGTATTCCCCTTGCACAGGCGGTGATTGAAACAATCGACAAAGTATGCTTTTGCCCTTTCCCGGCGAAATCCGTCCATCCATTATTGTTAATCAAACGAGTGTTGACCCCGCAAACGAACATCAATCGGCCTGAATTACAGAGTGCCCGTGACCCGAGAAGGTCCCAAAAACACCTGCATTCCACAACATTGCTAAACACGAATTAGATCGAACGTGAATCCTGTGTGCATGTGTTTTGAAAAGCCCGTGACTGTGATTCGGATGTGTAACACAAAACGAAACAATTTTCTGATGACTGTTATTCGGTTCGATGATTCCAACGAGTGCCTGATAACACCAAACTTCCACAGTTGCAACTAAGAACCGAATAATGATTCCCTAAGTTAGTACTAGAACTGAATTTGCTCCTAAGCGAATGGCAACTGATGATCATCCAAGAAAACTTACACAACATTTCACGCTGTATACGCAAGCGGATTTTGTGAGGTGCCTAGGTGTTACTCACTCACTCACTCATATGATTCCAAAACGATGCATACCTCAGACACCAGGATGTCTGTGTTGTGTGAACTAGCGACCTGGAAGACATTTGGAGTCCAGTATCTCACGCAAAAGTTACGTACAAATTCAGGCTCTTCAGTCAGCAGTAACTTGAGAAAAGACCTGACTGGTTGGAAAAGAAGAGATGCTTCAAATCTTCATGGTTATAGATTTGCCAGGGCCACTATTGTTTCACCAATACACTCATCTGCAAACCAATTTGGTTTTTATGGGAGACTAACCTGGAACCCACTGAATCCATCGTTTATGTCATTGTCCTTTAACTGGGTGTGCTTCACTACGTCGTCTTATGCTTCAGTTGGTGTGATATTCGATAGAAGAACATAAAGAACGATAGAATAAACTTGGTTCCAATTGAGTATTCCGTCAGAATTAACTGGTAAACAGGCAAATGCTTTGGTCGAATTTCGTTCAATTTATGCTCAGTGTGAACATAAGATTGACGGGAACCTGGGAACTGCACCTACCTTATGAGCTCCAAGAAGGGAGAAGCCGATCGCTGGCTCTTGAAGAGTTTCAGCAACGTTATCAATAATGTAATACGTCTAAATCATTATTCCAGTTTAAGGATCATATATCATCTCGTTATTGTGAATGAACTACGTTTTCAGTGGAGTGAGCTCCGATTTGCCCGAAATTCGTTTCTGAACATGTCCTTAACATATCCATCACGTCCACCGTGGATATTATCGGCATACTGTGTAAACAAATATTCTAACTAGCGGTTTTGACCTATGAGGATGGTCTAAATGGAGGACAAAATACCACGGGAGTTTTGACGGTTGGAGAATATAACTTTACGTTACGGTTTAGTCTAGTATTTGTTTCCAAACAGTGAACTTTTAATTGCCTGCACCGCATTGATTTTCGCACATCAACTCTGTACATACTCTCCTCTTTAGACGGACCTTGAGACGAACATCCGCACTGGCCTTCGACCTAATGCTGCGGAAACAAAAAAAGGTCGTCTAATTTTACTGCCACAACACATTCTGTTTCTCCAGCAACCGGAATCCATTGATACTTGGGATATTTCATGGATAATGAAGGTTGGTGTCTAAGTTCGGTTTCAGCCAGTCTTGCATCGTGTTTTTCTGCTCATCAGAATTGCCTCATTCAGTAGTGACTACAAAATAAAAAATTGCCCGTCCAAATGCAGAGTTTCCTGCGGTCTTTTGCCTTCGAATGAATATCAAATCTCGTTGTTGTATCATATTATCCAAGCGAATCCAACAATAAATTTTACGCGTCAGTCCACATTACAATACTTCATCGTCCTCATTATTTTGAGGCAAAGAAAATTTTCAATCAACCATCCTCGATATTAAAAATTTATACCAATGGTGAGTGTTTGTGGCCTAATATAATGTTACTACCGTAAAAAGAAAAACGTCGAGACAATAACTTTCATCATAGCCACCTTCACAGTACGATACCCCAGTCATTAACGTTCTGTAAACTGCCATTTGGACGAAGTAAAAAATAAAACGACTGCTTTTTCGTTTTCGAAAATGATGTCGTGTAGAAATGTGATCCAGGCACCCTACTTACTACAGTTGGGACTCCTTAAGCACAATACAAATAAATCATCTTTATCCAACGTCCCTGTTGCGGAAGAAGGAAAAGGGCAATCAAAACAGCTCTCAGAGGATTCTGTCAGTGTTCTCAAAACATCATCACTGTTCATGTACGTGATATGTAGATTGATGAAAACCGAAAAAGACGGTAATTCTGCCCAAGGAACATGAGGAGTAGGGAAAGGATGAGACGAAATTACGAGGTCGCCTCCATGGTACCGATTGATCCAGGGCGTTTCTGATTTTTCTGTATGATCATTTTGTTCTGATACCTCCAAATCATTTAGTTATATTTTGATAACTGTGAGGAAAGTTCAAGCTTGCTTCTCGAGTTTCGTCTCAGAACCACCGCTAACTAAATTTTGCACGGGTTAGCGTCCTTTCATAATCTGTATGCTTCTAAGTATCTCTCTATGGGGCTTATATCCGAATTCTAACCCGGGCAATTAACCTGATCGCCTGTTGTGGCAAGTGGTACTCTCAGGTGCTTTACTACCAGTGGTACCACAAACAGGTGCACACAACTAAAATTTATTTGTTGCGTCACGTCCGTGATACTGATGTGTCTATCATATCCTCAAAGAAGTTACTGTAATCACCAAGGGTAGTTTGTCACCATTGACATATGACATTCACTCCGTTCTCCGTATAACTCTGTTGACCGCGCTGGCGCTATCTAGGACTTTCATGGGTCGTATATACTTTCAACTTAATCGAAAACATTCTCAGTCAACGAAACGGTCCACCTGAGGAAACTAAATGGTTGACAGGACTCTGATATATGTATCCATGTAGTAATTCCTCTTCATCGTCTGACATTGGCGTCACTAACCTGATTCCGTGACCAATTGACCTATCCCTCATCCAACCCTTTTTCCTTTTATTTCTATTTTTATAAAGCATATGTAGTCCCGATCTTAACCTTTTTGGTTTCTGTTCTGCTACCGTATAAATTGGTGATGTAATAACCAAGGGGAACAATCACAGAAAACCAGCTTTGTTCCCTACCTTCGTTCTCATGACTACGACGTGTATATTCAGCCGTCATTCCTCATTATCCCTACTTGTTTCTACAAGTAAGCAGAAAGGCGAGATTTTTAACACAAGCACCTAATGTCCGTCCCCGCATAAGAAGCTAGAGTACACTATGGTGCACAATCATGTTAGGTTATCCAAAAATCTGCCTTGATTCCACTCCGATCGAGAGCCAAATATTTATGTTAACAGGGTAGGACGCGAGTTCTGGTAACTCCAAACTGACGGAGAACAGGAAGAATAAACCGGAATATCAACTGAATATAAAAGAAAGTGTTGTGCTCACGAGGTTCTGGGCCAGAATAGCAAAACCTCACCTTCGTGATTCTGCCTCAGTTACTTTAGGGTGTAGTCCTATTTTCTCCAAGGAACTTCGTCATTGTATGACAAAAAGCACTCCACCCGACCTTGTAAGGCTGTTCTTACGGTTCAGAACACCGATCATCCCGCAATTCTTGTGCAGTGTTGACATTAAAGATTTCCGCAATTCTTGTGCAGTGTTGACAGTTAAAGCTTTTCATTAACCAGAGTTATAATGTCCCCAGAAATATTTCCCTAACTTACTCAAATAACGAGATTATTTTCATGCACTTGACCACACTTTAGCTGGATGGTTTGCGAATCGGGGCATCTGAACTGTCGGACAAACAGCCACCGTGGTTTGAAATATGGAACACTGAAGGCTCTGACCCGACCAAGAAAATTGTACGGATCTACTGTGCTGACACCCTCAGCCAGGACGCATGGATGGAAGACATACGTCGTGCACTGATGAATTTGCGTAAGTAAAACCCACCGTTAGTCTTGACAGAGCATTTGTTTGTGAAGATGTATGCGCGATGTTATGACCAACTTGAACAGTAGTCAGAGCCAAAATTATGAATGGCAATCAGTAGTATTCTTAACACTTGAGAACTTTCATGCAGAGTTTTGGCTACACAGTGAGAACAAACCTGGTCAAAGTTATTGGCGCGAAACGGGTCATTCAGTGAAGTTTCCAACACTGAATTAGAAGTAGAAATTTTTCAAGAATCCTATATCAGAACTCATGTGTCCCCATCCACTAATGGGGGTGGGCACAACAAGCAAAGAACCGATGACTAGGTAAAATCAATCAGACCCTATGATAAAAAGATATCTATGGAGGGGATTAACTACGCGGTACTGTAGATTATCAAAGCCGCATGACTAACAGAGCTAAACAGTCGACTTACTAATAGGATAAATAAGGTACTATCTCCGTCACAGGAACGAAATGGCCGTCTTATTCTCACAAACAGGTTAGTGCGCACAGTCCACCCGCTGCGCCATGCACTCGAGCAAGTTTACATCCCCTTATGGTCTGGATGTTCTCAGCTTGATTGCAGACCTATGGTTGCAAGGCTGGAATGCTATGGGTTTTGTGCGGGTGGCTGGAGTTGGCTAGCATGTGAGGTCTCCATCTGACAGCAGGAGGTTTCAAGAATTTTAATTGTTTCGAATCATGTAGAGGGATATACGCCTGGTACTGACATGATAACTGCCAAATGGCTGGAAGTTAGGATATTAAATGATAAAATGAACTTCTGTCGCTTTCTTTGGAGTAGTTTCACCATCACCTGGGAGACCGCGTGTCTTCTTAAGTACGCCAAATTCACTATATCGGTGGGCGGTAGAACTTGCGCTGCCCAATTATTTTACGAAACTCCTAAATCTCAGCTTCACGCTCAATTCGGAAACGTCTAGACCACTAAGGATTCCAATCGTGTTCATCACCATCACAAGGACTGCAACAGAAACGGATTCGTTAAAAAACGAGTTAAAAGGTATTTATGTCAAACTGCAGAGAAAAAAATTACAAGAAGGAGTACACTAATGAAGGTCACGACCAAAATGTTTACGTTTGCAAAAAGGTACTCGCTTTTAGCAATCAGAAAAATTCATCAATGAAGTATACTACGTTGTATCACAACATTTGACTGCATGTTGAATCCCAGCCGGTCAAGTGTGCTGGACTTGTTGCTGTAGACCCTACTTTCTGGGTGGTCGTGCATAAAAAAGTCAGGCAGTTTGAGATCCGATGATCTAGGTGAATCCTCAAACAGCCCACTTCAACTGAACCATCGATTTCCGAACTCTCCATCCAGAAGTTCACGAACACCTCGAACTTAGTGAGGTGGGGCGCCACCTCGTCACCACCTGAAATGGACTACGTCATCTGCCTCCAACTGTGATTGCGAAGCATTTGTTTGCAGGCCGAATCTGAAAGCAATAAGACCGAATGCAAAAGAACCAACTGGGGGTACTTTAAAATAAGGAAAGCTCAGTGATTTTCCTTCAGGTCAGTCTTGTCCAACAATGAGTTTTGTAAGTTGTTGGACACAAGAAGCCCTGTACCCACATCGATTGGACACAAAAATGGTGCCTCAATGAACTGGCGTGTAAATCAAGTACTGCTCCATCAATCTTACGACTTAAAACGCATGTAGACGAAGTAGATCACTTTTCATTTTAATAACCTCACAGATATTGCAAATGGACTTCACAAAATTGACGGTGCACACCCCCTTTATCTTAAAACTTTTTGAACAGTATTTGACGAGGTGTGATACTGCTGATCAATCCTCCATATACTGCCCATGAACGCTTTGACTTCTTAGACAAGCAAATAAACAGATAATCCATCCACCTCTGCTTGAGGTCTGTCAATCCTTTTGCCATCTAATGCACTCCGATTACTCTCTCCGATTACAAGCCCTGAAATTTGTCCCACAACTTCAGCACCAACCGAATACCGGTGTTCACAGAATTGAATCGCCTTGCAGTAGCCCGTATGTTTTGTCGACACACAAGGTAGCACAGGACAACGCTCAAGTATTTTTCGAGAGTCCACTGGCCTAACTTAACCACCGAAGGTGCTTGCTCCTCTTCCATTGTCGCGAGAATGGAGAGGGCTCTACAAGTGCCGCACTGCCTGACACGCTGTTCCACGTATCAATCACCCTGGCATGTTTACCGGGGTGTCCAATCAGTTTGGACCTAGCTACCATGACACCCGCGTCTGTTTAGGTGAATGGACCACATCTACGAGCACCTGATTCGGCCATGCGATCGCATAACCACAGACACAATGATAGGGGAAATATTTGCACCGAAATGGAATGGGCACGTGCTATAGTGATGGGAACGCGCCGATTGAATTGGGCAAAATTTTTGGGATTTTGAGAAAACACCCACCGCGCGGCAGGTATATTTTGTGCGCTAACCGAGCTGTGGAAGTTATGCGTCCATTCCCAACCATAGATCACTTCTGGTCAATGGCATCCATTTTCACGTTGAAGGCTTGCTCCTTTGAGTTCTGGTTACTACGTCTCAAATTTTCTGTTTGAAGTGAGTGGTTTAACATGCACCCTTATCTCATAGAAAATGCTAACATATAACAATTCCGAGTGTATGTGAAGACTAGGTCAAGTTAATGGCCATATGGCTGCGTCAGTAGCCAGTAGTCCTACAAAATTGTGGGTATGTCAGCTAATTATATCAGTTGCTACTTAATAAATTTCTCAGTAGTTAAAAATATAGAGGCCGCCGTGCAAGTATGGACGACGGTGGACAGGTTATGGACAGTTTATGCTGCATCTGAATAACCATTCTTTATCAAAAGTTTCTGAATCGGAATGTGGTGTGTTTACTTATAAGCTGTCAAACTGCATTCAACGTTATTCCAAAATTGTTCTGTGGTAGCCGGACCGAATTCGATCCAGATTGCTTAAAATCGGCAAATGTATCCCCACTTGTGGGTGATATTTCATCGGGTTTTTCGGTTTATGAGTTTAACTACCCCCTCACTCGCTAAATGTCATGCTTCAAATTGTGAATATCTACTGATCAGCTAGCTTCAAGTAAAAAATATGTAATGGTGCAGCTTTCAAATTCCAATATTTTAGGAACGGGCTGCCTTTTTGCCAATCGATCCCGCTCCGTGTACCATAGAATCTGACGAAAACCGTTTTTGTATTACCCCCCAAGGTATTTCGTTAGAACTTTCAATATTCATTTGAAGCAGACAGCACTTTCAGAAGAGGTATTTTAATTCGCAATCAGTGTTCAACAGGAGTTGCACATACATGATCCTCATTTTTTCGAAAATCTGGAAATATAATTCGTCCACGTTCACTTTGGTCCTCCGAAAGGAAAGATCCTCACTTTGCGGTTAGCAGAGACCACTGTTTCATTTAGCAAGGCTCGGCTACAAATCATCAATATATATCAAACAAGCGATGTCATCCCTGTAGGGGAACAGCTCCTACTGCGATCGTCCACTCCATCCATCAGTTGGTGAATCTTGTTCTCTCTTAAGATACCCAGTGGCAAGCTAGAAGGTTCAAACGTTCATTTTCAATGCACCTTCAATTTGATTCTACCTTTTCTATTTTACGTGATGTATGACTAAAAGGGTTCATGCCAATTCCGATGCTCGATGCCACGGAACAGAGGCAACCTCACCCACACGTGTCAACAGCAAAATTAAATTTACCTGTTTAAATCTTACCATTCAGTCTTGAAAGAACTACTGTAAATAGTCACCCCAAGCGGATCTACCCTGAACCGGGCGAAGCTTATTTACTCCTGATTGGGAAATACCAGGTCATGTGCTTTCTCGTTTTCGTTTCTTGTCCTGTTGCATTCTCACCTGCGGGGCCCGCCGATATCCAACAACACTGGTAAACAGTGTTCAAACTACACATGTTTGAATCCTAATACAAGCAATTCTGATTTGGGTAGACCAGTTGAAACAGTTTCGGAATCTTCATAGTCACACCACTCTCGTTTGAACGGCCGTGTTCCTGTTCTGGCGTAATTATTCCGGTGAGTCCACACCAAAGGGAAGCACTGGACTCGAGTTTCGCTCATCAGCAGTGCATATTCAATGGCCGTGCCGGGATTTGAACCGGTAAAACCTCGAAATTGCAACCAGGTGGCGTGTGCCACGCTACCTGACTGGGAAGTCCTGACTGGCGGGTCGATCAGTTACTCAGCAGTTACTCGACAGTTACTCAGCCGTCGTTCGATGAGTCGGGCACACCAATCACATCGCCCAAGTTTGAACATGTTCGCCTGTTCAGATAAGATAATTCAGATGCGTCCAGCGTGCGTTGATGGAGTAGTGGTTACACGCTCGCCTCGCATGTCAGATGTCCGGGGTTCAAATCCCGGCACGGTCATTGGATATGCACTGCTGATGAGCTCTAATAAGAGCGAAAGTCGAGTTCAACGCCTCCCTTTGGTGTGGACTACAGGAACACGGCCGTTCAAGCGAGAACGACGTGGCTATGAACAACAATACCTGTCTCGCAAAACCCCAAAATTGCAACTTTCGGAATCCGTATATAGTTTCTTGACTCAAAGTCCGTACTGTAAAACAAAACAAAACTCCGGGTCCAAGCACCCGGCGATTACCATCTACGGACGTGATACACTAATCATAACGTTGCTGAAAACTCTTCGACCAGCTTCGCCCTTCTTAGGGCTCTGCAGACAGGCGCAGTCTCCAAGTTTCCCTCAACTTTATGTTCTAGTTGAACCAAAATTAATATGCAAAATGAGCCTATTCCGCTAATTTCACGCACTTTTCTTTCAAGCAGAGGACATTAGGTCAACAGAAACTCCGGAACTGCGCCTACCTGGTGAGCCCCAAGAAGGGCGAAACCGGTCGTGGGTTGTCGAAGGGTTTTCAGCAACCCTGTGAGCAGTTCCCTTTATGTTACCATCTAGTTCTAAAACAGTAAAAAATAGTACAGC